CGTCCACCCGCCGCGCACCGCGGTGGCACAGGGCAGCGCCGTCACCCTGCGGTGCCAGGCCAGCGGCGACCCCCCCCTCTATTACCACTGGGCGCGAGAAGATGGGCGACCCCTCCCCGAGGGTGCCCAGAGCCGGCGACAAGGTATTGGGTGGCTCAGGGGGGGAGCGGGGTGTCCCCAAGGTGGGGGGACATGGGGTGTCACCTGCGTGTCCCCCCGCCCAGGCGAGGAGCTGCACTTCGCCAGCATCCAGCCCTCTGAAGCTGGCGACCACGTCTGCTCCTGCCGCAACCTACGGTACAGCAACGCCAGCCGCGCCGAGGTCATCGTCACTGGTGGGTCATTGTCACCGGGGCGAGGGGGGGACACATGGGGACGGAGGGGAGAAGTGGGGCTCAGCTCTCCCGTCTCGGCGCAGAGACCCCCGGCAAACCCATCACCGTCACCGTGGAGGAGAAGCGGGTGCAGCGGGTGAAGCCCGGGGCCGACGTTACCTTCGTCTGCACCGCCAAGAGCAAGGTGAGGGGTGCAGGGGGATGCGGAGGGGGGCACGCGGGCACCCTTGGGTGCCCACGGGGACGTGCAGGGCACAGGGACACCCCAGGTGCTTGTGGGGGCATCCAGGGCATGTGGGTGCCCACCGGGTCACGCAGGGCACGTGGGCATCACATCCAGCCACGTGGACCCCCCCAAGCGCCCTTGGGTGCCCACGTGCCTCTACGGGACGCACCAACACCCATGGGTGCCCACCTCTCCCCCATGGGTGCCCATCCGGCCATGCAGCCGCCCCGTCCCCTCCCTCCCCAGCGGACCCCCTGCCCTGCCGCGTGCCCATCCCCAGGGCCTCAGGCCTCTCCCTCTCTCCCCGCCAGTCACCTGCCTACACCCTGGTGTGGACGCGGCAGAACCACGGCACGCTGCCGCCCGGCGCCGTGGACTTCAACGGCATCCTCACCCTGCGCAGCGTGCGGCCCGAGGACGCCGGCGTCTACGTCTGCACCGGCTCCAACATGCTGGACATGGATGAGGGCACCGCCACGCTCTACGTCCAGGGTGAGCCCGCGGCGTGCCCAGACACCGGGGTGACGGGCACGCTCGGTGCCCAGATGCCAGGGTGATGGGCATGCTTGAAGCCCAGACGCTGGGGTGATAGGCATGCTCGGTGCCCAGACGCCGGGGTGACGGGCACGCTCTCCTGAGACCCGCGCCCTCTTGCAGCCCCCTCGAAGACTCAGATGTTTTACGGCCCCGTTGAGTTCATGGAGGGGCACAGGCCAGGTAAGTCACCGCGGGGGGAGTCCGGGGGGGCCCACGCACTCCCCCTCCCACCCGCTGCATGCCGGGGCTCCACCG